TGTAACGCCGAGTTTATCTCCAAACTTTTCACGGTTTGCATGTATCTCCGCGTACTGATTATGCTCCATCCCATCTCCTCTCAACACGGCGCCTTACGGGGGGTTTGGGTAGGCAACGCGGTGAGCGCACGCGTCAGGCGGGCCTCACCAATGCATAACTACCAGGGGCTCTCGATGGTCGCGACTACATTTGCGCTGTGCCCATGTGGAGGCAGCAGCTAAGTTTGAAAATCCCGCTCATGTCAGTCTCATTTATCAGAGCGGAGGAAGGATGTGCTCCGGGCTCAGCGACGACCTATTCGACCTTAGCTTTGACTTGCAATAATCCCGGGGACGCTATGCAAGGCGCACTTCTGCAGCTCGACGACGCGAGTCGCACTCACACACCTGGAGGCGTGCCTGGCGGCGATATTGGACGATGGGGCGACTGCTTGATCGGCAACTTAGTTGCTGGCTTTTCTCTTCGCCGTACAAACTGCCTAATGGCGCAGAGGCGTGGCCGACCGACCACCGCATCATGGGGTGCACCGTGAGATGCGAACGTGTACATGGGATGGCCATGGGGGCACCCCATGCCCATGGCTCATCCCCTGGCTCTGACTCGGACCCGTGCGATGAGTGATCCGTGAGGCTTATCGTCGCTGGCGGCGGGGAAAGGGGAAGGGGGCGACCACTGCAGGGTGTCTGTCTGCTGCGGACTCACTCTGGTTCTGTCGGCTCAGCAAGCCGAGAAGGCCGGCGCGCAGAGTCGCAGAGCGGCCCGCCCGAAGCGCCCGGGAAGCCTCCGATGGCCTCGCTCTCGCCGTCTGAGATGGGCGGCGTGATTCACCCGGGGGACTCTGTCGCGACGAGAAGGCGACAGGCGACACCTTTGAGCGTTTAGCTTCACGGGGCTGATTGCCTTCTGGGAGGGAGTGGATGACTGTGCTAATGTTCCCCCCGCGCTCGGCGCCAGGCGAGCGCCAGGCCATGAGAGCCGTGCCGGCCAACGACGACCCGGGGCGCTTCTTGTTAGTTTCTTGTGTTAGAGACCCTTGACGTCAACAACGGGTTGCCGGTGGGCGAGCCGGCCGGCGGCGCGGGCCAGCACGGGGTGGGGGGGGGGGATGAGTCAGTAATGTGACAGCCCGTGCTGAGCGCGCGCCTGGAGGAACCCAGCCACGTGGCGCACGCGTGGGGAGAGCGCTCGCCTGGACCGGCCGGCCGCAGGAGGACTTCTGGTGAAATGGAGGGGGGGGGGCACGCACACGCGCGCGCGCGCGGACAGTCCTGACGGGCACGGCAATCTGCGTCCGAAGGCGGGGCGGGGCGTAGGAGGCGGTATAAGATTTGAGAGCTCGGGGCGCGGGGCGCTCTTGCCAGCCGCCGCCGGCTCGGGAGGCGCTCGCTCTCCGGTGAGCTCTCTAATCTCGCTGCTTCCCTTCCCACCCCCGCGCACCTCCGCGAGGTGTCGCGTGTCCCGGCCGCCGCCGTCTCCCGACGCCACTGCGCCCTAGCAGCCCCTACCCGGCCCCGCCGCCCCGCCCGGCTCGGCCGCCGCGCCCGAGGCCTCGCCGTCGCCACCAGACACCCGGGGCGCTTGGTGCTGAGCGAGCAGCATGCGAGCAGCCCTCCATGTCGGGGCCAGGGCCGTTCCCAGAAGCAGGGCGGCGGCCGAGGCAGCGACCCAGCCCAGCCCCTGCGCATGCAGCTCGTCCTCACGGGGTTCAGGGCCGGACTCGAGAGCATACTCTCCTGAGGCGAGGGCGCGGGCGCCGGATGTTGCTGGCTTGGCTTTATCGGCAAGACGAGTCTACGTGTTGTCGAAGTAGGTCGGTCATAAGCATAGAGACGGAATGTAGGCCTACAGCAAAGTCGACGCTTTGTGTTCAGCTGATATAGAATTTGACACCTGACCCATACATTGCGCTGCATCGAAACTGGACACTTGAGTATAACGAGACGCGTCTGATATATGTCAGATCTGATTCTCTCGGAACGCTAACTGATCACTGTTAGAACAAGTGTTCAGTTTGTTTAGCAGTTTGAGCCGAATAGAAAGGAAACTTCCAGAACGAGGGATTGTGGTAGACCCTCAGCGACGGCCAACACTCAGCAATAACGTCTGGCACTGACACAGCAAATGCGTTGTTAGCAGGATTTGTCTGGCATCACGTGAAATGTCGCAGCGCCCGCACGATGGAAATTGTCATTTCTGGTTATAAAATAATTGGCTGAGCTATATCGAAGCCAATTACTCCACCGACGCAAAAGTGTTTTTGTAGATTGTTATTATTTTGAAGCATTTTGCGAGTGCGTCGGGAGGAGCGGAACATGCGCCGAGCTCCTGCAGTGCCGAGAGGTCATAGTCTTTGGCGTCGTATCTGCGGCTCCCAGGGGGTCGTTCACGCAGCCAGTCGTCGTGTTTACGTGTTTACACTCCGCCACACTCCCATGCTGATTTGCTGAAGCGTTTCCTTTCTGCTGCGCCCTGGGACTGCGACACGCGCCGCGCCAGGCCTGGCCCGCCAGGCAGGGCTTTCCCTGCTCTTTGGAGCTGCGCTTCGCTGTTTCTTTTCACTCGCCCCGCCTTCCCCGCGACGGATGTGTGTTGTTGCGAGTCGGGCCGGGCGGGGCCGGGCCGGGGAGTAGGGCGGGAGGCGTAACGTTTTACTCGAACGAAAACAATCCCCGAGGCGTGGTGAGTAACCAATCGGCCCACCGGGCTCCCCGGCGCGGGGGCGGCGCGGGGGGTGGCGCGGGGCCGCAGTCCAAACACAACGCCGAGCTCACCAACACACAGAGGACCCTGACCTGCTCAACGCCGGCGTTCTCAATGGGCCACCCTGGTCCGCACGACTTGCGGGGGCGAGGACCTGAAGAAGCTGAGCACGGGCCTGTGCATAAGGAAAGTGTACGTCCGACAGAAGAGTGAAAAGTTCGCGGGCCGGCCTGACGCCTCGCGAGCGGACCGCCCGCGCCCGCTGGCTCTTGACCCCGCGGGCAATAGCTGCGCCAGCACCACCAGCTCGGCGGCGGCTTTCTTCTCCTGCTCGCGTCCGGGCCCCGTCCTGTCAGGACTGTCACGGGGGAAAGGCGTGGGACCTGCGTTGTGAATGGCGCTGATCGGTCCCGCGTGCAGTGCAGCAGTGTGCCGCACGGGGCAACGGCGGCGTGCATTCTGTAGCAGCACGGGGCGACTGTGGACGTCGTGGCGTGGCGTGGCGGGGAATGCGGGGGATGCGGGGAATCCCTTTGTGCGAATCGCGGGGCGCCGGCCGCGGTCCAGCGTGGTGGTGGGTGGGATGAACCTCTCACGGTGGAGCCCCTGATCCACTCATCGCCTGCTCACCGGACAATTTCACTCCCACAGGCGCCAGCGATGCGACGGCGAAACCCAGGGGAGAGAGGGTCATCGCCAGCGTTTCCCTAATCCACCCCTCTCTGCGTTAGGTATGTTAGTTAGGTGCGTGTGTTGTGTGCGCGCGCGAGAGCATTGCTGGTGCTGGCGGTGCCAGGGCGTACGCCCCCCCCCTCTCTCTCTCTCTCTCTCTCTCTCTCTCGGTACCAGCGGCCCACGGCGCGGCACTGATAAGCGCACAGTTAAATGGAATTAAGCGACACGCCGGATCACAGAATCACAGCAGCTGGTCAGGCTGGCGCCGTTGACGCGCGGCGGGTGGCGGGAGGGAGAGAGGGGGGGGGGCACATACTGTAGACAACAATCATCTCTTTCCGCTCGGGCGCCGTCGGTTTTTCCTGCTCCAGCAGCGCCGTCCCCCCCGCGGGCCGCGGCGGACCGTGCTAACCGGTGCCCCACACACAGCCTCCTCCGCGCCTCCGCGCCTAGCGGCCGTGGCGGCGGGGAGACCAGACTCGGCACCTGGTGGCGATAAGGAGAGATGGCGTACGGGCGGGCGTATCTTACCGTGTCACTCTGTGTCACTACCGCAATTTGCCCCCTCCCCCTCCCTTTCCACACACACGACAGGCAAACCTGACAAGGTGCTCGACCAAAATAGACTGCCAGCTCAGTTTCTAAAAACGGCCCGAGGAGCTGCACCTTCAACCGCTCCGCTCGCAGCCAGTGGCAGCGGTGCACACGACGGGCCGGCAGGCAGCGGGGGCGTGATCGTGATCGTTGCGTCGGGGCGGGGCGGGCGCTTTCAAGGCCTGCGCCATGCATGTTCGTTTACTCCAGTGAGCCATGCGGTCGTCGTTTCATTCATTTCTCCCAGACTTATAGATCGCCGCTGTGCCACGACTTCACGGCCATGGCGGGGAATCCATCTCCAATTGCATTTGACACAACTAATTTGTCCGCTCCTACTGGAACAGGTGGACGCTCTCTCATTCATCCAACCCATTGATCCCCAGCGGCGGCGGCGACGCGGGGGTTGAACAGCCTCTCGTAAGCAAATTAGTCGCCAATAACCCGACCGCGATTGCGGCGGCCTGATCTGCAGCGGGAGGGAGCGGACCGCAACGCGGATAGCAGCGACACCCTCAGCCGGCCCAGGGCGGAGAGGAGGGGAGGCCCTATTAAAAACGGCCACGGCGGCCAGGGGCGGCCAGGGCCTCGCGACCGCAGCCAATCACCTCCCCGTTGTAGGGGCCGCGGCCGCCACTGGCATCCCCATCACTGCGCCGCCTCGGCAGCGATACTCGAGCAGCTGGCGATCATCTGTCTGGCCATGCAGCGCCTCGCGGCGGCCGGGGGGCCCCAGCCGCCCCAACGGCCCCAGCGGCTCGTATCATTGCATACCTTCACCGCTTCGCCCCGCCCCGCCCCGCCCTCCCACCTCACCCCGCCGCGCTCAGCCCGAGTTTCCTTAATGCAAACAAGTGTTTCACAACGATGCTCGACGTGGCTCCCAGAGCAAAACGCCACTTCATTCTGCCCATTTTCGTCACATTTTTGCCGGAATTGTGCTATTTCTGCCCCAAGCCCTTCACCGGCTTCACGTCCACCTGTCCTCAAGCTCTCTGACGTCAGCAGCAGGGTTCGGCGGAATGGCTTTATTTCGACGGTCACCTCCGGGAGCGGTGCCTCCTCACGGGCCTCGACGAGGAGGCTGGCGCCGCCTGCTGCTCGTCGTCCTCGTCGTCCTCGCCGGGCACGGGGACGATCACGGGCACGGGGGGCTCGGCCCAGGTCACAGAGGGCGATGCGGAGGGCGACGCGGAGGGCGACGCGGAGGGCGACGCGGAGGGCGACGCGGACGGGGTCGTGGTGGCTCCTAGGCGGGAAGGGCGCTGCTTTCGCCAGCGCTCGCGCTCCGTCTCCCAGGCGTTCTGCGCCGTCTCCTCCGTCTCGTCCAGCCGCTCGCGCCGCCGTTCCTCCGCCGCCTGCTCGCGGACCGCGGGCGGCGTGTAGCTCTGCGTCAGGCAGTGGTACACGGGGCCGTCCGTACGCATCAGCCACAGGAACAGCAGGAACAGCGTCAGCATTCCTGAGCAGGACCACAGTAGTTCTGAACAGTAAGCGTGTAAAACAAGCTCTCATGACGCCTGATAGATAGGCAACATCTTGTCTTCTGTGCATGCATGTGCTGCGGAGTGGCCTACCCCGAATCTCGCAGGCGTTGAACTCCCGAAAATATCCCGAATGAATCTGATAAAAACGCACATACTTTCTGGACGACCCCTACGCTTCGAAGGCAGCTCCAACGGCGCTGGCCGCTCAGCCTGTGGGGTAGAAAGGGGTGAGGTTCGCCTGGCGCACTCACCCGCGGTCCAGGGCACGGTCACGGTCAGGAAGAAGTTTGGCCGGCTCTCCCCCTCCCCATCCCCGCGAGGCCGTGCTCTTGTGGGTGTCGGCGGCGCGGTGAATGGCGCCCTGGTCGCTCTCCTGCCCTGCTTTGCGTTGCCGCCGCCACCTGCCGGTGCCGCTGAACACACCAGTGAGGGCGGTCAGGACCAGGCAACAATGGTCTCGCCTGAAGCCGGCGAGCCGGCGCCAGCCCCTGCCCCACCTGGTGCTGGCCGAGCCGGCGCTCTGTCGCTCGCTGTGGTCACCGCGGCGGGGGTGCTCAGCGCCCAACCCTCGTTCTCCAGGTCGAGGTCACTAATGCGCCATTCCTTAGGGAGACTTACACAATGAGTTGCATTAAACATACACACTAGTAGAGTAGAGAGCACGTACCGTGGTAGCGTAGTCCTGCGCGTCCTGCGCTACGTCCTGCCTTGCCCTTCCTGCGAGGACCCCCACGAGCCCTGCAGGAGGCAGGGAAGTCTAACCGGTCCCGGGCGAGTTGCACTTGAGCCGAGGGTTTTGCCCTCCGGATCAGTCAACGACGGAAAACTTATCTTACTTACCGTGGATAAAAACAATCGCGCGAAAAGGATGCATCACCAATCTGATATCCGTTGGTAGTAGAACAATGGTGGCCTGTCTACTACACTATCATCGCGACCAATCAGCACGGCGGAAGCTCAGGTGGTGAAGCCCTCCAAGGTTCTAGCAGTTTCAGCTGATGGTATTTAGTCTTCGCTGATTCTACTGTAATGTGCACAGAATCCTCAGTCCGATAATCACTATAAATACCATGAGCATAGAGTTGATGTCAGAGGTTGTTTCTATCGAGTGACTGCAAGCCAGGTGCAAGATGTCTCCTTTGTGAGTGATATCTTCTATCGGACTTTGATATAACTGCATGTCTGATAATGTGATCTCATAAACCAAGATAACATGCCAAAGTCTGCACAAATTCACTATTTTATCATGTCATCGGATATTGGGATTGTGGCCTCTAATTTGGTTTGTAGCATAAACACCTAATTGAGATATAGTCATTTCAATTTAATTAACTCTAGAAAACTTCATGAGAAGCTTGAGCTAGGTGGGAATGGACTCCAGATTCGACTCCTCCTCTGTTCTGATACTGTGCAAAAATAATATGATTCTTCTTATTGTAAGTTAGAAAACAATTAATGTAGTACCTTTGTTAGGCCTAACAGAGGATAATCAGATTATGATACATCACAGTAATGATAATCTAGTAATCTAGACCTAATAAGAATCAAGTTACTTCTTTGATGTACACCTCCGCTCTGCTCATATAGTAACTTATATTCACAAACTAGGGATTCACCTCTTTAAACTGAATAAATAAAGGACACATAGACACTTTGTCTGTGTATTTCACACAAAGCAAGAGAATATAGTGAACAATATGACACAAGGTATAATACGCAAGGGCTTGTAAATTACCCAGTTAACGAATATCAAAAATAGATGATCAACACAATACAATAATGTACCAGATTAAATCAAGGTGGTGTCTGGATAGAGAAGTTGAACTTACTCAATCCAAAAAAACAGCAAAGCTAGCAAAAATAGCAAAATGCATGCACACAACACAGTTGTATTTCACAATCAGTCATTGGCGAATTTGATGGGTACAGACATTGCTAACACACTCTCAGGCATAAAGCACTTGCAACTGATAACTGAGAGAGAACAGCAATGAGAGGGCCAGTACCCAAGTAAGTATTCAACAAATTTATTCTAGGGATGAAAGGTATCAAACATAGAAATCTTCAAAGTTGTAAAATCAAATTAAGAAAATTTAGTTCAACTCTTATACTATGTATCAAGATTGCAATAACATAACATGTCAACTTTAAAAATATATCACAGACAAAATCACCACAACTGAAAAGACTCCTGACTGACAGTCTATAAATTGTCGTATATAAAGCATAGAGAATAGTAGATAAAAAACATTTTGTATAAACCAGAAAACAACAACAGAAATAACATCAAATGATAATGTCAAATGAAAAGCACATACTTTACACAAAGTTTACTATTTGAGATTTGTGTCACAGTTGTTGAAGTGAAGGTGATTTTAATGGAATAATACAGGTCAGTTTTTATTAACAAATGTAGTAGAGTCAGAAGCAACAGCAGGAATTTGCTTAACTGCAATGTTTCCCTCACTTCAGTGCCTGTAAAATAATTTCAAAAAGACAAAGAAAGACAAGGTTAGAAGGAACCAAATTTTGTCGACACACTATTGGAATATTGTTTTACAGGAAAGTAAAAAAAATATTGACTCATAAGATATTTTTGAAAATAATTAGCATATATTTGGCAGCAAATAAATGAAAATGAATAAGGCCATTGATTTTAAATTCTAAAGAATAACTCTGGCAGTAAGGCGACTGATCATTATTTTCTCAAGCTGTCTGAGCTGTTCTTTACAACATTAATGTCATACTACCAGAGCTGTGCAAATTGTTGCATTTCTGATCAAATCGAATCAAATCAGCCAGGTTTCTTATTTGACCAATTTCAAATTTTCTGGATTTGATGTGGAATAATTCGACATTTGAAATTAGGTTGGTTTTTCCTCAAACCCATGGCCATATGTCTAACGTTATAACATAACATTGGCCAAATAGTATGTTTTGATCCACAAAGATATACTTGACTTGACTAACCGCAAGGTCTTTTTTGGCCAGCAGGTTGGTGTAAGGTTTTTAATCCCCAAACCCCTTAATCAGTAATTACATGTTTTACTTTTCTTTACTTATTTGACAAATTTTCAATTGGATTTGATTTGACCTCCAACTTAAAGCAATTCAATTCTATTCCGAGGAAATTTTGGGGGTTCACATTTGACTGAAATAGATGGCTAAAAACTCAATTCGCCTCGCAATTCGCACAGTTCTACATGCAAGCTCTCATAAATTCAGTAAAGGAAGCAAGTACTATGGTATTAGGCTCCAGCTATTCTAAAATAAATGCTCAAAGTCAAATTGTGAAAGTTTGCTAAAATTCAAACTTATGTATCTTTAATTCTTTGGGTTGGTTTCTATTGTGAGAAGAATAAACACATCCAGCATGACCTAAAAACTATTTATGATCTTCTTATGAGACTTACTTAGTGCTTGAATGCAGGGATAGTTTGATAGGCCATTACACTATTCCAAAATGCAAATCACTGCTGTGCTTTACGATCTTGACAAGAAAAGTGGACAACATCTCCGTCTGGATAAAGAGCAAATGCACTGAAAGAATTGCAAGTTATTAGAATGTTAATTATGTACAATACAAGATTTTTAAAACCAACTGCACATCAAAAAATACCTCTGATTTCCAAATCGTTTCTTGCACACAGAACAGACATTTAACTCAGTCATCTTTATGCTTTGAGATTCATAATGCATTCTTTGTTCTTGGACCTGAGCGAAATGAAAAGAGAGTATAAAGAGTAACCGAGTAACAAAATGACAAGTATTATAAAGAGACCCAACTTGCTAACTAACTTGTAGGTTTTCAGCAACCGTCAAACTCTTGAGAACAAGGATACGCCGTCTTTCATTTAGTTGCTTTTGAAGGCTTGATTCAAGAAAATGGCGAATGCGACATATTGGTACTGTATCTGGTAACACTTCTAATGCCTTTCGAACACAGAGAGCAATCAGTTAAGTTTTACATCCTATAATGCAAGATTTCAAAACCATTGTGCCTACCTGAATAGGATGGATCTTTGATGCATGCTCCTCTAATAAACTGAGAGCTGTTTCCAGATCTGGCTTTGAAGTGGCAGGAGATACAGGAACTCCTCTTAACCAACTATCCGGTGGACTTATCAACATTTTAATAAGCAAAACATAAACCTGAAATTAGTAGATTATATTGATAGTATGTGGCAACTTCATTAATTTGTTTAAAATAGATGTAACATGTTCTATTCCTACTTCATCTGCACCCTCCCTCTCACTACGGTACACATCATGGCAGTACTTGATAGCCTGACTGACATTGCCAAGCATCATTACATATATTGACAATACTTGCTCATGTTTCCCAAGCTTCCCAAGGATGACAGCTCTCTCTTCAAACATGCCTAAGAAATAACAGAAATAAAAGTCATAAATGGAAATCAAATGTTATGCATTTTTTTTTTTTCAAAGTAGCATCAGAATATTTCCTTACTGTCATATGGAAATTGAACCAAAGCATTTTCAGGAGAATAATTATTTGAGCTTTCCAAGAAAGATAAAAGTTTGGCTCGTACAACTTTTCCTTCTGCCAATTTACCACCAGCAAGGAGAGTTGCAGCCTGTTCTCTGTATTGATGCACCAAGGCATCATGTAAAATAGTAGATTCATCCTTCCATACATGAATCACATGCTCCTGTCAATAAAAAAGAAAACTTCAAAACCACTATAGATAAAATCCTATCTGTAGAGCTTGGAGGAAAAAAAAGTTAACTTACAAGATAAGGTATGACTAGACTTTTATGTAGGCGCAAGAGAAAATCAAGAACTTTTGGCCGAGGTAAGCCTTCTACCTCTGGCATATCTTCTATAAAAATACTCAGTCCATCTGTAGGGTGCTGTTCTAGAACCCAACCAGCAAATTGAAAGATAAGTTCTATATAATCCCTTCCTGCAAATTAAAAAAAAAAAGCAAATGATAGATAGATAGATAGATATAAACGATGGGTTCTCCTCATACAGTAAACACCTTTCTAACCTAGATTTTGAAGGTACAAAACTGTTCGATAGTGCCCTTGTAATGAAGGATCCTGTTGAGTGGATTGCTTTTGTAGCAGCTCTAAAGCTTTTTTATGAAGTCCTTTGGTCTGGTACAGAATTATTAATTCACTATTCTTTTCATGTTTCTTGAGCATTTTTTCAGCTTCCCCCAAATGACAATGGTTCAGCCGTATAAGTGGTGCAACAAATGCATCATTTGTCTGCAAAAAAAAAAAATATAAAGAAATGATTAAAACTTTAACTTATAGGTAATTGATAATAATGACAAGCAAATATGAGAAGACATACCTGGAGGTAACATTTGAGCAAAGTTGTATCAATTATCTGGAAAAGTTGTTCTGTTGCTTTGCTGAACTTATCATGGTTTGCACTCTCTGTGTCTATTTCTTTTTCTACTACTAGAGTCAATTTCCCCAACTTTCTTTTAGTGTCCCTTTCTGCCTGTTCTTTATCTTTTCTCTCCTTTTCAGCTTTCTTGCTGAGTCTTACCTAATAAAGAAAGCACCATGAAAAAAATTAAACCATATCAGGAAAAAAAAAACAATGTTGATGTAAAGGCTGTACAAGGCTTCCATCAGTTTCACAGCATACAGGTAGCTGGTAGCTGTATAGTTCACAGTATTTAAAAAAGGGGCATTCAGTCATTCTAGGTACCAGGCGTAGCAAACTAAAGATAAAAAGTACTGGCATTATGTACTCACTTTAGTTAGATATTCTATTAAAGCAAGTAGTCCACTTTCCAAGTCCATATCAGCTAATTGGACAACAGCATCTACTGCAGGCCTTGTACGGGCTTGTTGAGGCAGTAAATTAGGAAAAAGTTTGATAACTTCAGTGGGATCTAAAAAAAATGAAAGAAAATTTAAGAGAAGTAGCTTGATAAAAAAATTAACACAATATTAATCTAAAATCATACCAGTTTCAAGCTTGAGAAATTGCTCCATAGATTCTTTGAACTGCTTTTTATTAAATAAATCATAGGCATACAATGTCTGAATCTGATGGACATTTCTAGCTTTGTCCTCTGATGGTTCATCAGATATGTTCTATAAGAAAAAAATTGCATTTAAAGAGGGCAATAAGGAAAAAAAGATTACGCAATTTATACTGTTAAATATACATACTGCAATCTTTAGAGCCAGTTGAAACTGTTTCTGTTCAAGCAGAAAATGGATTTGTCTGCTCCATGTAACATTTTGAAGACACCAGACATGCTCATCAGAAGCAACATACAATAATCCAGATCTGCATCTTATGATAATCCTTGGATCCTTCACTTTTTGCATTTGTACAATAAGTGATGGCTCCACTGTTCTTATTTCAAGAGAGTCCGGAAAAAGTGCCACAATGTAAGGCTCATCGTAGACTGTTTAAAAATACACATGAATGAGGAATTTATAAGAACATCATTCAAAAAATTACAATTACATTGTCTGTACAAAAATCAGGAAAATAACAACCTAAATCTTTTGGAACACTTTCCCACTTCATTTGCTTCAAACTGGCAGCTTCTCCGTCAGTACCAACAAATATGGAAGAATTATCTTTCCCTAAGATAAAAATTTCGTCATTCATTTCAAGAACACTGGGAGGGCGATTTCCAGGAGGGCAGAGCGGCGTCTGACTGTTATCTTTTTTCGAATCTCGGTTGAGCTACAGTAAAAAGAAAAAAAGAAACCTTAGAGAAACAGTTTTTGATTTCTAGTAAAGCGATGAAATAAAATAAAACAATTTAGTTTTGTAAACATGATGGGGAACACATACATGGTATAACATATATACACTGTCGCCTTTGAAACCAACACATATTGTTTCTTTGATCCATGCCAAGGCTTTAGGAGTATCAGGCATTGAAAGTTCTTCCATTAAAGGATGAAATGATCCATTCTTCCAGTAGAAAAGAAGTAACTTTCTTTTTACTACCACACACATGCGAACAATAACTGACGTTTTTCCAGACTGTGTAACGGTTCTCTGTAAATGCATTTAAAAAAAGTTATATTGTTACAAAGTTATGACCTTTAAGAAGTTAAAATTTAAAAAGCAATAGAAGAGACTTACTTTAATATCCACCGAAAACAGTGTGGCACCTTTGGTCTCAGGAACAGTACATATTGTAGGGAAATTGATAGCTGCTATGTCATGGACACATATAATATTATCTGCAAACACAGGGTAGAATCTTGTAAAATAAGAAGTTTTGTAAGATCTCATGCCATTGATTGAATTGACACTGAATTAGACGGCAAAGAGTACCTGACAAACTGATAAGAAGTTGATGTTCTTGAACAACCGCCAGTTGTTGAATAGGTTTCTTGCTAAATGTTCTGTTGTATCGAAGCAGATGCACTTCATTTTTATTATCAGAATAACGACTGGATATGCTATACATGAGCAAATGCCCAACTTTTGTGCCCACCAGAAGATTGTCATCTAGAAGAATAAAATATAATTGGGAAGGAAACAACAGGAAAATTGAAAAAAAAAAAAAAATGAGGGAAAATTGAGTGCTGCAAAACTTAAACCGAGGCAGACGACGTTAAGTATTCTGACTTTTTCAGAGGGTTATACAGTTCTCGTGATCGTGACTCACCGTAAGCAGCAATACATTCGATTTGTACACTTAATTTTAGTAACTGCGAGCACTCGTATGCTTCGTACATGTTTGCTGATATTATATGATCCAACAAAACAGATCATTATAAGCAAACATAGACCTGGGCTCAAATTCTCTCAGCTTTCGAGTTATTGGTTTGAGGAGGTAAATGTTGATGTTGACGTCCCTTTAACCTCAATACGGAAGGTGAGCGACGAATTCAATTTCTATTGCTATTGCTATGATGCTTTGGACTTTTATGAAAATTTTGTGGTCCAGATTTTCACAACATTAGGCGCTGGCTTTCAAGCCACCGCTATGCAAAAATCATGGTAAGGTTTCCTGGTTAGACGTTGTTCAACGAATTGTTATTAAAAAGGATCATTTATTTTTTAATAATATTAGTTCTTCGAACAGAATGAAAACGTGGAAGGGAAGGGAAGGACCAGCATGGTAGCTGGTAGCGCTAAACGTAATAGCGATATGAATATAGTTTTACTTTAGGGAAAACTACGACAACCCCCCGTATAGATGGCGACACGGGCGTTCAACCCCATCATGGCGCCGGTGTCAAGTTGTGGTATGTGTAATTTTTCGTACGGTTTTGGAAAATACGCAGAATTTAAGAAGATTAAAGCAGCATTCAGAATTGTTGATGGCTGTCCTATTACTGAGCAGCGAAATACCGGCTTTGCTGATACACCCTGTGGCGTTGAAATCAAGATTGTCAAGACATGGCTGGGCGGTGTTCTCTGAGTGCCCAACCCCTCCCCTGACCTGCGGTGTGTAACCTACAATTTGTACTCGTTTCTCAGCGAATTGTTATCAAAGCCTCAATATTTTTCTCTTGATACGATTTCGTAAGGTGTCAAAAATTACGCAAAGCATGCTTGCGTGGTACTGAGATGGTTTCTTGCGCTTCCTGCTTCTACAAGTACTTGCCTTTAAAACCAACGTAAATCAGTACCCATTTGAAAGCTTGATACTTAGTGTGCTCCCGGCATTTACTTTTAACTCATCATAATGGTGTAGGCCAAAGCTTTTGCTTTTTGAGATAATTGTAAATCATACGGGAGGTGTTCCTTTTTTACCTGTGGACCCAGTAGTGTACCGTTGTACGTTTACGTTCGATAGCCATTACTCTGGTATTACTCTCCTTTATCATGGTCCAACATCAGTCAAATGTTTGTGGTAGCTAGTAGAGGCTTTCTTCCAGGTTGTTCTTCCTTGTCATGTGTTTTTTGTACTAAGAGATCTCAGCTTTATGCTGCTTTTAAAGGGATCCTAATCACCGCAAACCTGTGTTCTTCACTCGGCTTTACTGTAATTGGTATTTGAATAAAGGTTTCTTGTGCAAAGCTTTATTTATTTTTAAAATTTGATTTTGTTTTTAATTTTACTACAGTGTGTCCCCCTTTCTGACCTTATTTACTGAAATGGAAAGTATAGATCTGGTTTCTAACTCCCCTCTCCAACACACACTTGTATGCATGTGAGACCCACTCTCACCATTGTGGTAGATCTTTGTTGTGTGTCACCCTGTCTGAAATATGTGTCCTGATAAGCAATACAGCCCTTACATACTCAGTTCATATCATCCACACATGAGGTATTCTCAACCGTTTATTTTCTGTTACATCAACCTCTACATAAAAATATTTCTTTTTCTCACACTATTTTGTAGAAATTCTACTACTACATACTAGTTTAGCATGGTTATTGAGTACAGTAATGATAGTTAAAATATGTTCATGCGTCTTGGTGCTCATGCAATTGTACTAAGCTGTATCTATTATAATAGTAGAATACTAGTAAAGGAATGTACAACAGCTCTTATTTTTTGGAATTTACACAAGATGTGAGCATTGACATGTATTGTATTTTATTGTAGATGTGTCAGTGCAGATACCTCTGCACCAATGTCTCCTCTGCTTTGGCAAGTGATCTCATTTAGTAAAATCATATTCAGATGTCAATCTAAAAAAGTTGAGCAAATAGCCACGCTATAACATGTTTAGAATGACTTAGGACAGGTTAAACATTTTTTTAGTCTATTGTATTTGTCATTCAATAGCATGTTTGCTTTACTAAGTACCTTTTTGACTGATAACATAGGGACCCTGCTGACTAGAAATGATGAAATTTAAACATCTACCAACAAAAAAGGCAGTAGCAAAAAGTGTTTCTTACTTTTAAACAAAAAACAAAAAACAAACACACACTTTGCTGTAGTTATATTCTGTCACTTTCGAGGGCGCTCTGGGTGAAGAACTTCCGTGGGGGCATCTTTCGCCGTGTTAGCTGCTGCCACGAAATAATTTGTCCTTGTCGCGCATAAGCTGCCATAAGCAAAGTGGGGTGCGCAGGCCGGCCAGGGCGCGGGTGGTGCGGCTGCAGGCGCGGTGGGGGTGGCGGTGGCGGTCGGGGATCTCGAGGAGACCGGAGGGGACCTCCCCCTGGCCTGGAGGGCCCCGCCCGGCCCCGCCCCAGCGGTGGCGGTCACTTGCGGACTGCACAGGCTGCCAGGCAGGACTCGAAAGTAGGAAAGGAACTTGGGGGCAGTTGGAGTGGGCTGTTGTTCCCCGTCCCCACACGGCCTGGTATGCCGAGGAGCCGCCAGGTCAATACAATGCGCACTGGAGGCATTAAAGTGTGCCTCAGCCGCCTTCGGCCGCCCCGCCCACAACTTACAGTGTAGATGGCACGGAAGGTCCCAATGGCTCTATTGTCCGCCAGGCTAGGCCGTGCCGGGGGCGGGGCGCGGCGCCACTAGACGAGTGGAGGGCTGCGGAGGATGGGCACCGCGCCAGGCCGGGCGGGGCGCTCGCGGAGACTCGCAGGTGGCGCCGCTCCAATGCCGCGCCGCGCACCGCTGCCGGCCCACTTTACGACGGATCGGAGGGAATCTGATTGACCCACTAGGTTAGGATTTGGCTACGATCCCTCCCCCTCGGCCCATACGGTGGCGAACCCTAATAATTTCATCTGTGAAAAGAAAATCTCGGTGAAATAAATCCGGAGCCAACCCTTTTCAGCTCGTCCTCGCGCCGGCCCTGCCTTCCCCCAAGCCCACCGGGCGCCTGCAAGCCCAGGGTAGGCAATACGCACGCACGGGTGCCATGTGTTGCCTACCCGGAGGCGCTACCGCCAACTCCCTGGCCGCTTCCCGGGGCGGAGTTGAAGAGAAGAACGCGAAATGCTCTTGGTATGTCGGGAGATGTGGGACTGTTGGTTAACGGCCGATTTGCTTGAGCAAAGCGTGGTTCGTTTTTATTTGTTTTCGTCACACTCGGCTTCCTGTAGATTTGGGGCAAAGGAAGCTATACTTGCTGCTTGCTTCTCAATTGATTCTCGCCCATTCCATATTTTAAAGAACCGAGCAAATGATTTTCCCTGTGGGTTCGTCCTTGCTCCTTTACCGCGGGCGCGAGGCGCTCCGCCTGTTTTTGGCAGTGTGGCGGCAGCACCCCCCGGGCGGGCGGGCCGCGCGCTCGTGGTGGGCGGGAACAAAAGCAGAGGGTGCGACTGGCACGATGCTCTGCTCCCCTCGGCTGTTTAACTTGTCTCCGATGCCGCAGCACGTTTGGGGCATTTCGCATATTTTATCACTCTGCCCGAGATGAGTTTTGGGCGACTAAAATGGGTGCCGAAGGGTTGTGCCTGCGGCGGGCCGGTGGCGGGGCCGTTGGGGGGCGTCGGCTGCGAAAGGGCCGTGCGGCGTGCCTTATCTGGCGGGCTGCTGTATTATTTACCAGGACCCGCCCCTCCTCCAGGACGGTCCGGCCTGATCAGGACCGGGCGTGCGCGTGCGGCGGCCCGACAGGCAGGCCTGGCCGAGCCCGAGCGATGCAGCGGAACAACGGAGGGCCTGACGCAGCAGGGGAGGCTGTGATGCGATGTGACAGCGGAGATGCTCAGGTGCGCGTTCCATCGAAAGCCCATGATGCAGATTATATTCCGTTTTTGAGAGTCGTTTTCCGTTCCTTTTAACGGGCTGTAAACCTTAACAACGTATCCCAGTTACATCATTTCGCCTGCGTGAAAATTGATAACAGTATAGTCACTTGAAGGTTTGCGGTTGGGAAATGCACACGCGGCGCTACGCCTGCCTGCACCCCTTCCCCTCTCCCCATTCCCCTTCCCCCTCGAACTGCTTGCGAGGAATACTCAACGCCTCCCAAACGATTTTATCATTTTGGATTCGCGATGCTCACAGCGGTCTGTTGATCGAGTGTGGGCACTCCCCCACCCCCTGTCTCCCTCCCCCTTTCACACCCCTTCACTCGCAATCTCCCTCTCGCACCCGCACATGGCGTCTCGTGCTGCGCCTCCATTTGCCCCCCTCCCCCCTCTCTCTCCCCCTCCCCTTTCCTCTCAACGCTACGGCCACATTTCTCTTCCCCGCGGTTTGCTTTTACCAGGATGAGACTCGGCCCGCGCCACATATTCGCGGTATGCCCCCTCCCTCTCTACCCGCCTCCCTGGCCTGGCCCTGGCCCACACCGCCGCCTGCTTGCGCACAAAAGGAAAGTTTCAATTGGACTCGACTACGCGTAGCCGAGGAGAGGAGGAGGCACTAGGCAGAGCGATAGAGAGACATTTGAGAGAAAGGGAGGTAGAGAGAGAGAGAGACAGAGGGAATGAGATAGGGCGCGTCTCGGTGCACCCACTAACCAACAGCTGTTAATCGAACCTACCTGCCTACCGCTCAGCAGGTCGTTTGCTCCGCTTTCTTCGATTTGGGGATCGATTATCCAGAAAATTCGTTCGTTATTCGCCGCTACGAAACTGTCAAGTACAACCAATCAAGCGCTCTCGTAGCGCCTGGCAGGTAGGCAACATCATACCTGCAGTGCACGCGTGTACTGCGGGTCGGCCTACCCCGAGTCTTGCAGGCGTCGACCTTCCGTCTATATTTGCCGAATAATGATAGATCTGGCAGAAGAAAAAAACGCACTTTCTGGGTGATCCGTCGACGAGGCGCGCGGGTGTTTCGCAGAGTGTCGCGTCGGGCTACTGCCGTTCATCGCGCCGGGTTTTGGTTTGGCGCTGCAGCGCTCGATGCCGCTTGCAGCAGCTGCGACACTTGGCGCACCTATCGGCCACCGCCGTGCGCGACTCATGCGACGCGCGACGCTCTCGTTCCCGGCCGGCGGCACGGCGACCCTCCCCC